GCATCCAACTACAAAATTTATCATTTAGTCTCAATATATTTATGTATCCGACCTTATAGTGACTGAAGTAATCAGTAATTTAGTATTGCACAAGAGACGATTGCTCGATGACAAAACCTATACTCCAGTGTGATACAGTTGGTTTCTATATATCGGACCTTACTAGCAGGGAGAACATACCGTGACAAGTTATTTTCTTAAAATATCTTATACGTCATGATCAGCCCTTAATCTATTATTGAACACGACGACTGTGTATTGGGTTTGCTTCGTCAATCAATAACCGTTATAATATAAATCTTAACGGTGATTAAAATCAGAGGGCAAAGAGATGCGACAACTACAGTTTATTATGGGGATAGCGCAGATTACAAAGCTACAAGGACATCAATCTGTTTTGAAGCACAGAGACGAATATGTATATACGAGCAAATAAAATAGCTTAACCAAAATTAACCATAATCGAAATTGGTTGTAGGATAGTTGCTTAAAAATGGATCTAATTTTCAGTGATGTCAGTCACACGCTTAACAGAACATCTCGGAAATCTAAATTATGGTTATTAGAACACAATACATGTTTGGTACTACCATCACACTACAATAACTAACTGATTGATCATGAAATATGAAGCATTGGATCGAAGGTAATATGCTCGCCGTAAGATCTGGAGATCGTTAGATTTATTCTTGATGATGTCATTAGTAAAACTATTAGGGGTGATCCTATAGTATAAGTGATCAGTTCTTCATTCCATCTTAGTTATAAAAATTATCCTAGTCTCATTCAAACAACACCTTTAAAAGTTGAGAAATTCAGTCCGTTTCTGCTTAAGCTCCAATTAAGACGAAACTGAAATGCTAATAAATTTGTAGTGTCTAACACTATGTCAAGTACACACGGATTATTCTAGCTGTCGGACAGACCAGTTTATTTATTCACCTTAGGTCACATTTTGATCTCATCAATTATTCGCTTATCAACCTTGACTGTTTTTATGAGCTTATGTGTTTATGTTACTTCCCGTATTCATCACGTGGCATTAGCTTAGTTTCGTCTGTCTATAAATATTCATTCACGTTGTATCAAATCGAACTGGTATATTTGCCTTCTCTAGTCAACTTCTTCACTTCGTTTCTCTTGCTGTCTAAGCTAACGATTGTATGCATACTCAAGATTCATTTTCGTATTTGACTCACTTTATTCCATTATTCTCTAACGTGAATTAAGTTTATAATTATAGATGAGGGTAGCCGGCATTTATATTTCATTAACATGATCATTTCATCAAATTGAAGTTAAATCAACGGGCTACTCAAAAGCATTTCAATAACACACATGAAAATAGCAAGAACAAAGATTCTAGTAGAATAGCATGGATTCATTCTATTTCATAGGTTCTCATCATCTGCTTACAATCTTGGATATTTAAGAATCATAATTACATAATGGGTGTAAATGACTTACATGAAAGGGTTTGATTGGAAGTTATATTGAAGACATATTCGTATAGTATAGTAAGAGTGTAGTGAATAGTGTAAATATATACCTTATGTAAAGGAAAATTCCACCACATTGATCGTGACAACAGTTCAAAGGGTTAGAAACAAGTGATTACATAATGAGTAAATGATGATACGAATAAAATGAGTAATCACCTTGAACAATTGCAGGGTATCTACCTGATGTCCTGTAACAAGGAGATGTTTGGTAATTGCATTGTTTAGAGTCTTTCTTTCTCTTGTTCTGAGGCTTTTTGGAATATGTTCAAAAAAAATCTAAAATATGCCCTCCTTTCTGTCCGGCCAATGTAGCTGTTCTGGCAGGTACACATAAATTTAGCGATAACATGAAAGGGATGCTTGTCAACCTTTAATTGAGTTATTGAACATGTTGTTTTAATACAGAATTAATAGTTTGGTTGCCGGATAAGTTTCACCTAGTGCAGTGTTCAGTCTCCTGCTGATTGTGTTTGCTATATCATCACCTTTGAAGTCGAGATTTATAGATATTTGTTTTATTACTAACCGTAGTTACTTCCATTTTGTTTTCTTTAGGTTTTTTATACTTTAATAGTTGAATTCATGAGTCAATTAAAACTAGACTACCATTAAAAACCTGAAAGCATTGGATGGCTGTTTCATCCTAATATGGGACTCCGAAGCAATGCACCTCCATGATATCGCCTTCCAAAATTCAATCCCAGGATCTATCGGTTTCGCACGCGAGCACTTAACCACTAAACCACTGAACCTGTCGGCATCCAACGTTATTCATGTTTAACTTCAACTAAATTTGTCAATACATTTCTGTGGGTAACAGTTGTCCATTAGGCATTATTCAAAGTTCATTCATTCTTCTTCTAATTTGTCAGTGATACATGAAGATTTTTTTTAGGTTTACTAATACACGATAAATTCAATTATTACCATTCTACTTTATTATTATTATTCTCTTATTTAATTAATCCGTTTCCATATTGTTTAAATGTCAAGATTCATCAATAGAAGAAATGATACCTTTATTGATCAAATTGTAATATTTACCTATCCCTATTTCTCCTTATTTGGAATGTTATACAGGAGTTTTGAATGAAGTTACTAGTAAGTATATCAATGATAAATCTATCTTCATTTCCCCTTCTACACACACATATATGCAGACACACACACACAAGGAACCATCAACTACATGGATAGATTAATGCACACTTATGTACACACCATAAAATAGTTGAACCGTGTAAATTTATTTACTGCATGATTTATTATTACAAACACACTAAAATATGGATGAACCAAAAGTTTAAGTTTCACGTTAAATCTTTGAATATCATAACTAGAGTAAGATATAAACAATGATGTTTTGCTTAATGGGATTCATTAATAGTGTGTATCTGAAATATTCAGTTATATGATATTTCCTGGATTGGTTGAAGTTAGGCATTAACACTGTTGTATGCTGATCGGTTCAGAGGTTAAGCGTTCACTCGGAGGACTTATAGATCCTAGGTTCGAATCTCGCGAGGTGGGATCATGGGTGTGCACTGCTGAGGAGTCCTGCAATAGGACGAAACGGTCGTCCACTGATTTAAGCCTTCAATATTGTTATTAAAAACTAGTACACCTGTCATCACACTATCAATTTGTGCTTTTCACTTATGATGTAATCTATTCCATTGTTATCATCATTGACTCATAAACTACCTTGATTGGTTTAATAATTTCATATATGCATATAAATACATTACTGTATATTAGAGTAAAGCCTGATAAGGCTTGTACTATATCTCTATATGCAATCTTTCTCTTATATATTACCACCTTTGACCTAACCACTGCTATGAATCCGGTGTTCATCTTGTTGTGCTGATGCGGTATGGCAACCTGGACCGATGCACATATGTGCCTGGTCCTACGTTGTAGCTGACTGACTGACTGACTGATAAGGATCTAATTGAAAACAATATTGTTCGCTTATATCAATGTTATTCTAAATTTATTTTTAATATTCAGGAATGAAACTAATCAGTGTCTGTTGATATGTTGTCATTTTTCAGTGGATTATTTAAAGCTGATAATTATCAATCAATCATATGTGCGTTATTTAAAGTTGAAGAGTTACAATTGATTGATTAGTAGTCACTGATCAATGTAATTCTATCGACCAAGTTGCACTGTAGCCATTAGTCTGGGTAACTCAACATTGAGTGCACTAGGTTGAGATGAGATGGTGGCTGGAGGTAGTCGATAGAAAATCGTGGACTTCGGTTTCGTACTATTCGGTACACATCAGAGAGATGTATCTTTGATCTTCAGGGAACTGATGCTCTCAGATAGATTCGATCCTATGTTACCCAGCTTCACAGTCAGAAACTTTACCATTGAGCTATCCCGGCTGCGATTGATCTCCTTCAGGACTAAGATGTATTTACAATGTTGAAGATTACATCAGTTTCATGTCAGACATTACGAGTTATGAGGTGTCTAGAAGTAACACTACCTCATTGAAACAGATAAAAGACAAGTGTTATTGGTCAATCTGTGAATGCAAAGTTATCGATTCTTTAACTTGGGTTCCATGTTTTGTATGTAAAATAATCGTTTGAATTTTCCAATGTAAACTAACGTAATCATTTATTTAACAATGATATCTTCTGAAATACTTATGGTTAGTATTTAGGGCTACGTGGATGCACAATGCTGAGGAATCCCATACTAGGACGAAACGGCCTTCCAGTGCTTGCAGATTTTCCGTGGTGGTCTAGCTTCAATTGACTCATGATTTCAACCTGTGAAATTTCTAAAAATCTTCACAAAACCCATTCTGATAATAATTAACTGGTCACTAGTGACTGACTTCAGGAGATACTCCTGGATTTCTAGTGAGAAGCCATTACCAGTGATATCTTATCAATTTATATTTCATTGAACATTGATCATTTTTCAGAAATACTTTGTTTTATCACATTATTGATTTATAAAATATATTATATCAGTTCAAAATATCAAATTTCAACCAATCAGAAAGTTTACCTGTCTATCAATCGATCAACAAACATATATACACATATTATAAAATAGTATGTTTATCTATCTATTTTCCCTTCTGATTACAACACATTATTATTATTAAAGATTAAAGTGTACATTTATTCACAAAAATGGATGATCTATTTAACATGATCGAGTTGATTAACTCAATGATTCTTTTGTAAGAGTTTACATCATCATCATTATGATTGTATCTTGGTATTCTCTCCTTTTTCCCCCTACTAATTATGGTATGTTGTGTTATCATCTAACAGTCAATAATGGAAGGTATTATTTGTTTCTATGTAACTCTATATTCCTCATCTACACATGATATGATTTTGTGTTTCTTATTGTTGAATCGAATATTCTTTTGTTAGTTTTATAATATAATTAGAATAACATGTGATATATTGTAAAAATAAACGGAAGTAAGCAAGGTAACAATACGCGCACGCTCACGCAAACGTGTGTGTGTGTATGTGTGTACATCATTGGGATATTGATATATATACTGATGTGTGTGTGTGTGCTTGTCATATATGTGTACTTGTATACAACTGGGAAATAGTGTAGGATACAAATGTAATTCAATCATTTGAAAGCTACATATGCTTGGATATAAAAGTAAACATGAATTAGGAGAAACCATATAGATTTATATCATCTAAAACATTTTCACTGAATAATCAAATATTGATTTTGATTAGACTAAATTTATTAATTAGACATTCATTAATAAGTTCCTTCAATAAAAACACAACAAACAAAATGGAGAATGGAGAAGATGAAGATGAAGATGATCTTTCTGAAGTATCATTTTATCAATCACAATTACATACAGTACAATTAAGAAATAAATTAGTCAATCAACAATCAGGTAGTCGTGCACCAACAATGACTATAGATGTTGTACGTGTTGGTAGACCATTAAAAGTAAGTTCAATGAATAATATATAATGTAATGTATATGAGTTTTATTAACTATATTAAACACTCTATGATTTCATCTAGAACAGTGAGATGATGTATATGTTTAAAAAATTTATAAATAATAATATTTTCCTTGGTGGTCTAGCTTCAGTGGACTCATGATCTTATAGTAGGCGTCGAGTCGCGATTGACTATGATCACCACTACAGAATGACTATGTGCCAGTTACTAGGTTAGATACCTCTGTAGGCCAATTATCAGTAGGCTGTTGAAGGTTGTAGTAAAATGTATGTGTTGGCGATCTCATGGTATAGAAATAATACCATGGTCGTGACAAAGTAGACAAGTGGGACTACTGAACATACGAGAGTTCCTGCAAGGTCATAAACAACAGATGAGGGTGTTTTTGGACACACTTAAACAAACAAATACAGTAAAACAATCACTGATTATAATCATTGGTTATAATAATCATGATACTTGTTTCCATTATACCAAACTTGTTCTCTTCATGAAAGTAAGTCACAACAATGTCAAGCATTGAAATTACTATAATATCCACAAAAACCCCGACTGATAGTAATCAGCATATGCTCACTAGTTACTGGCTTCAACAGCTATTTCCTGAAGTTCTAGTGAGAAGAAGTGACCAGTGGAGTTCAATCGAGTCTGTTGTGCGATAGTAACTCACTAAATACAATGTTAGAAGTGTCTCTCACTTTCGTGGCTTAGTTGAAGTTAGACATTAACACCGTTGGATTCCAACAGGCTCAGTGGTCTAGAGGTTATTCGTTCGCGTGCGAGACTAACAGATCCTGTGTTTGAATCTCGAGAGGCGGTATTGTGGATGAGCACTTCTGAGGAGTCCCGAAATAGGACGAAACGGCTGTTCAGTGCTTCCAGATTTTCCATGGTTGTCTAGCTTCGATTGACTCGTGATCTCAACTGTTGAAATACTATTCTAGTTAAAAAAAAACTAGTTATATTTTCACGAATTACAAGTCTCAATCATTAATGGAATGCATTTATCGGGTTAATGATTACTTGATGTTGTCATTTTGTTACTTATACAGTAAGAATTTATTTTGGAAGTACCGATAAGCTCTCATTAACTTACCAGTCATCTATTGAATAATAAGTATTGTTTTATCCTTACTGTTAATTCAATTTTACCTCTTGATCAAGTTATTGATATAGCTACTAGATTAAGTGATATCAAAGTGGGTCAAGTCCCATTCTAAATAATTCAGTAATAAAGTTTATGAATATGATACTTGATGGAGATGTGTATTCAAAACTAACAAGTGCATCAGTTTCACTACATCAATAGTCTGTAACCCTGTGGATATTGTTGTGTCTTGAAGTTCGGCTTTTTATCACGTAATTTATTCGTCAATGAAAATACAACGTATTCAATCTTAGTACTGTGCTAAATCAACGACGTTCGATCATTGTGAGCAGTCTAGAAGACTTATTGATCCTTTGTTTGCCTAACCCCGTCCAATTGAGTCCAGAATATCAATAACAGTTTCCATTATGTGAATCATTCATTTCAAACATAACTGGTTTATATACAAGCCAAACAGACCACATCACACCATAAAATAAGAAATAACATTTATACAAGATCAAACCAAAAAGTGGCTGTGAGCGTGATTGTGCGAGACTGTAATTAATAAACTGAGCATAACTTAAGAATGGTAAGTGGTATAATAATAAATTATAACTCAAAATGAAGCTTAAAATAAGGGGAATATAAATATACATAATCTAATTACTGAATAGTTATACCATGAGAATATATAGATAATATTAGTTCATTAATAGGTCTCAGGAGTTACTCGTAATTTAATCTTCACTAGGATATAACGCAAACATTAGTCTCCAGGATCCTAAAGGAACAAATGTCGTATAAACCAATCGTCGGTCACTGGCTACCATGGAACTATATCTCTTCAGGTCTCGGGAGTTACTCTTAATTTCATCTTCACTAGGATATAACAGATATATTTAGAGCTGTAAAGCTAAAGTATTTCTTTCCAATTCAAATTATCAATTATCCCCATACAAACCAGTTTAGTTTTATCATTTCAAACTATTGCATTTACTAATTGATTGAAATATTCTTACAATGAATAAATTTTATTGTAATAACTATATCCAAATAATTACATCATGTGAAACTTCATATATATAACACGTGTAAGCTAATCATACGATTACATAATACATGTATGACTAGTTGGTATTGAAGTAAACAAGAACACAATTGGCGATAATAGAATATATTTCCACACAAAATTACAGTGGATTGTAGTTGGAGGTCGTCGACAGGAAACCCTGGACCCGGGTTTCGTGCTACTTGGCACTCGTCAGCAAGGTGTACCTGTAATCTTGAGGGAACTAGTGCTCCCTGGCGGATTCGATCTCGTGTCACCGAGCTTCACAGTCAGAGACATTACCAATGAGCTATCCGGACCGTGACTAACCTCCTGTAGGACTGAGATATAATCACAATTGATTGATCACTGGGTGGTGATCAAGCTTCCTGTGTGTCAAGCTTCCTGTCGACTACCTCCAACCACCATTTAATTTCAATATATAGTGCACGCAGTTTCGAGTCACCTAGACTGGTGGCCACATTGTAACATGATCGATAGCATTCGATCTACACTAAATAAGGACTTGACACACATGACATTGATCACCACTCAGTGATCGATCAATTATGATTACAAAATTACAGTAAATACTTCATTTACAAAATGTTAATCAACTGTCTCAAACTTTACTATTTCTTCATTTCTACAGCGATCATTCTTTATTCTCATTCTCTTTTCCTTGATCTTCTTAACCTTCTACTGTCAGATATTCCACTTTCGATTGATGATACATACTACTTATATCTATCGACATCAGTAGTATACACCACCGTTTCAGTAGTCGGTAGTCATTCAAATGCAATAGTGTTTTCCATTTAATTACTTTCAATAAGAAACTGTTAAATATGAAAAAAATGGTTTTGAGACAGATTTTTATGATTAAATAATCAAATAATATGCTTTCATTTTCCATGGAGTTTTGTTCTCTGAGTTGGATGTCTTAGTCGTGGACCTTTCATCGTTCTTCTGAACGACATCATCAGCACAGCTCTAATTTTCATCAATTGAATTTCGGTTGTGTTGAATATATATGTTAAAATTAAATATAAATAAATTTCTTCAAAGTCAATCATTTCAGTGAACCAGTTAATTAAACGAAAAAATTCTATCAGAAGGGTTTTGTGGATATTATAGTAATTTCAATGCTTGACATTGTTGTGACTTACTTTCATGAAGAGAACAAGTTTGGTATAATGGAAACAAGTATCATGATTATTATAACCAATGATTATAATCAGTGATTGTTTTACTGTATTTGTTTGTTTAAGTGTGTCCAAAAACACCCTCATCTGTTGTTTATGACCTTGCAGGAACTCTCGTATGTTCAGTAGTCCCACTTGTCTACTTTGTCACGACTTTGGTATTATTTCTATACCATGAGATCGCCAACACATACATCTTACTACAACCTTCAACCGCCGGCTCAGTGTTTAAGCGCTCATGAGAGAGACTGGTAGGTCCTGGTTTCGAATCTCGAGAGGCGAGGTCGTAGATGCGCACTATTGAGGAGCCCCACAATACGACGAGACGGCCATCCAGTTCTTCCAGATTCTCCATGGTGATCTAGCTTGAATTGACTCATGATCCCAACTATTTAAAAACATTTTTTTTAAATTGTTGATATCTAATGAATTTGTATCTTCCTATGACAAATTTGTGTAAAATTTAATTTTATTTAGTAAATCTTTGCTTATGCCTGTTACTCCTAATGGAGCATAGGCCGCCGGCTAGTATTCTCCAACTCACTCTGTCCCGAGCCTTCCTTTCTACTTCTACCCAATCTTTGTTCATTCTTCTCATGTTTGTCTCCATTTCTTGGTGCAATGTGTTCTTTGGTCTTCCTCTTCTCCTTTGGCCTTGAAGATTCCATGTGGGGGCTTGTGTTATGACTCATTTGGGTGCTTTCCTCAATGTGTGCTATCCACTTCCAGTGCTTCTCCCTGATTTTTCCTCCACTGGAATCTGGTTTGTTCTTTCCCACATTAGGTTGTTGTTAATAGTGTCAGGCCAACGGATCCGAATGCTTGTATGTTCTGGATGATGGCTTTCTTAGTTCTCCAGGTTTCCGCCCCATACAGTAGAACTGTGTTGACATTTGTATTGAAAATCCTGACCTTGGTGTTGGTTGACAGTTGCTTTGAGTTCCAGATGTTCTTTAGTTGTAAATATGCAGCTCTTGCATTGCCAATCAGCGCTATCACATCTGCATCAGATCCATCGTGAAAATAGAATTCTTTTTGTTAAAGTTAACAACACACTTGATCATACTATTAGTGATGTAGTCAGTACTAGACATTAATGTAAAATATCAACAAAATTAGAAATATTTACACACATTCTAATATATGAACCATAGAAACTTATCTGTTATATTATTCAACTAAAATTTCAATGATTTAAGTTATCTCATTGCTGATATTTTGTCTGAAATCTGATATCAGCATCTGGATCCAGGCACATTTAGCTGATCAGTCCTAATCATACTCTATTTATTCTATATAAAATCAATTAATTGATTTGCATGAAAGGGAAGTATAATATATATGTAACTTAGTAGTTTAATTATTTTCGTTATCTGTAACATCCCATTTATTGATTATATAAACGATATACTTCGATTGAATTATTGATTAATCGATTTCGTTTTTCAACTTTTGACAATTTATTACATTCCAATTGATTGATTTTTTCGACAATATAAATTGACATAAAACTGTAAATTTTACTTAGGTGTTTAATGCATATCTTCATCTAATGGTCTTGGTTTGTTTAATTGTATCGGATCATTTCAATCTTCTTCTATTGAACAATTAGCAAATAGCAGTTTATTCCATAATTGTA